CAAGAAACAGCCGGCTGAGTTCAATGAGCGGCCAGGCAATGCTTTTTCATTTGAAATGGAAGTGCCTGACTGGCTGATGCATGCGCTTGGAGCGGACCCGAAGTCAGGCAGCGGCATCCTTTTGGTTTGTGAATTTGGATGGTTTCTTTTTCTTTGGATTGTTTCTTTAATGAATAACATATATAGTTCTTTTCGAATTCAAACCAACCTCAGGTGGCGATGTGAATAACAGCGTCCTGGACTTCAGCTTGGATTTGCACATCCTTGCGGGTGCTATCTTTGGATCTGCTCTCTTCTATGTGGGCCTTTTCTCATGAATGAAGGTGAGGAACTATTTCCCGTTCCGCTGGCCCTGAACAGATCTGAAATTTTCATTGGGTTGGCATGAGGGCCCTTTATGGGCTTTGACACAGGCTACTAGAGGCAGTGCTACAAACGATATTTAGCCAAGATGGCTGTCTCCTTTAGCTAGAAAGATTGAGTTCCTTTGATTGAAGCACGCTTCTACAGCTGGGACATAGCCAGGGTCTTATTTGAACACCCGCCGTTTCAAAGGCTTGTTTCAGGCTGCCATACAGTCGCAGCTTACACAACAACATCAAGGAAAAGTGCCAAAATGGGGCTCAAGTGAAACGCGCCAATTGCGTTTCGGCTTATGCCCATCTGGCAATGTGCCTATTGCTTGAGCCCTAGACATGGCTCCAACATATATTGTTTTCAAGAGACTTGATCACGCCAATGCCGTTGAGCCGCCCGAAGCACTGGGCTTAAGAGAATGAGGTCCCCCTGGTTGCATGATGTGGGGAGCTGGATGAGAAGGATTCTGTCTTCAAGACAGACTGCGAAGAGTCATTGCAAGAGTTGAGCCAGCCTGATGAGCTTCATTCCTCCATCTTTTGACCATTTTAGATTTGGCAAGAGTGGAGCCCTTGAACCCTTCTCGATTTTCTGACGCAGTGTTTGGGGGGTCCAAGTGCTTGGAGAGACCTGATGATTGAAGGACGTAAGCAAAGGAAAGCTTGATAGGAAGCCGCGCAGCGGTGCCACGCGCAGCGGTGCCATGGAAATTCACAAGCCAGATGCACACCGCTTGGGACCCAGACATCAGCTGGTGATGTAGAATTCTGTGGTCTTGTGATTTTTTCAACGAGCTTTTTTGGTTGAAGCCAGCTTCAAGGTCGAGAGTACGCGTACTTCGAGCTGCCCAACCAACTCAAGGTGGGGCACAAGAAATGTGAAAAAGACCCACTTTGAAGACCCTGCACTACAGGGAAGCTGCCTGCTTACCTGCACGGTTTCCGTATTTTCCCACCAAAATTAACATGAACTGCACCACTTCTGGGATCAGGATCGAGACAAAACAGTTCGCCCTCTTAGTGGGTGTCTTGGCACCTTCGCCTCTCATCTCAGCAGTTTCAACCTCACCCGACCACGAGATCCTGTCGTTGACTTTCCTGTCGATCCGAAGGTTTTCCAGGTCGATCACACATCGCTCTCCAGTCATCGGTCCTGTTGGCTGCTTCGATTTTTTGTTCTTTCTTAAGTCATGATTCCATTTGGGTGCTTCTTCTCACTGAACGAGCTTGGTGGTTGCCATCGGGGGGGTGGTGGAGCCAACCACTTCGTCACACGAGCGTGTTCGACATACCAAACGGTCTGGTCACGAAACGTGGGTCGAACCGTCCCAGACCGTCTCCTGGAACTGTCTCCCAGGTGGTTGTTGGATCAGATCCTCACTGTGACAAGGCTGGCGCAGCCCTAACGGTGAATACCGGCCTTTGCGATGAGAGCACCTGAGCAGAAGGACCCGAGAGGAACCATTTGCGGGGGCCAAGAAGAAGTGAGATCGTCTCGGAACATCTGGGAACCATGTTTTTCACTTGTTTTTTGAGGATTCTTTTGGATTCCCAGAGGCAGAGCCGGGACAGAAAATTTCTGTGAAGGGTGTTCGCTTGGTGGCTGGACTGGACGTGCTTCCAATCGAGACTCCACGGGACCCCCGGTCCGTGGCAAACCCGGTCCGTTGGGAGGGGGCCTGTTCGGCGTCCGTCGGTTTGGGGCTCCACTTCAGTCAGAGATGGCGAACCGACGATTGATTCGACTCCGCATATTGACGTAGAAACACGTCAACAGTCTACATGACTACATGATGAACCAAGCGCTCTTTCGCCTCTGCTCCGCTTCTCGAAGAGCTCTCAGTTGGTGGTCATGTCTAGTTGAGGTTGCTGAGGTAGGAACTCCGCAACTGGCAGGCCTGGTTTTCTGTAGATCATGCCAAGGTCAGCAGTGAAGGTCAGATAGACGAGGGGTTGATGATAAGAACCAGGATCATGAATTTTTGTGGGGAAGATTTAGCAGGCGTCTATGCATCCTTATGCTCATCCAGCAGTGTTTACATGACAGAAACAAAAGGGGCAGCCTCTCTGGAACAAGAATAGAATGACGCGAGCCATTTTCCTCATGAGCGATGTTTCTGATTTTTGTGCTTTCGCGCTGAGGAAAGGACTTGCCTGGCTTGGCGCATTTCCTGGAGCATATGCTCTTCACTGGAACCAAGAAATACCCAAAAGAAGGACAGCCTCCTCTGGATTACTTAGCTGCGATGTCCGGGCAATGATCTCCAATTTCAACTGATGGGAAGCATGCCACTTGAAACCAGGAAGGGTTTGTGTTGTTAAGTCTCTTCTCTCCACTTCATGTCGTAAACCTCCGAACAAGGTCGTCGGCACAGTTCGGGGATCCCTGCGAAGGCTCTCCAAAGGGTTACAGTTTTGTGGCTTCCCCAAAGAGATTGAAGCCTCACCTCGTCCTTTGTCTCGACCCGCTGCGCCAGCCGCTTCATTCTGCTGCTTCGGTAGCCGTGTTTTCCTTTTGGTCTTGGTGAGGAGAGTATAGTGAGTTCGTGAAGCAGAACGGTGGAACGACCAATGCGAGCCCTGGGCGGAAATCGGAGATGGGATGGTAAAGATGGTGAAGAGGGTTCTTCACAGCGGCAACCAGACATTCACAGCCCTAGCGGAGTCGGGAGATCTTGATCTAAGGAAAGAAGCCTCTTCGTTCAAGTGCTTTGTACACTTTGAGGGGTGAGTTTTCACTTTCCGCACCATTGAACACCCTGGGGCCAGTTCACTGTGGTTTCGCTTGACGATGACTTCCCGGAAGCCATTTCGGAATTCCGACGTGGCCATGCCATCAGCGGTTTCAGGCTGACGGTTTCCAATGATCCCAGAACAGCAGGTTTTTCAGCCGGAAAACAACGGCTTTTGGGTGGTTTCTTCAGTGATGATCCAAGGGTTCGCAGGACCAACTCATGCAAAAGGAGGGTTTGTCGCAACATTTTCATCATTGGAGAAGTGTGGTCTTCAGCTTTATTCTCTATCAAAGACGTCGACATTGATGTTGAATCAGACTTTTGATGGGAAAGGGTTCTAAGAGCCGTTTTCGCGTTGCTTGCGTTGGTATGACCTGCTTGAAGGGAACAGTCCGCAGTTGCTCTTGTGCCTTTTCCAGGAACACGGGCTGCTATACCACCAACTACATGTGCCATGCCTGACAGGGTTGGGTACAGTCTTTGAGCTGTGTCAGCTGCGTTGCACTCTGTCTGACAACGGCTGAATTCGCATCATTCGCTGATAGGATACCCCTTCAAGAAGGCCCCAGGCTAAAGGTTTGTAGTTGAGGGAATCAACGTTATCACGTGTTCAACCTGACAGGTGCCAGGATTTCAAGGTAAAGAATCCATGGGTCCCCTACGGGTTTTTTTGCTGTTTGCGCACATCTGAGCAATGCATGCACACTCTCGTGCGCACCCGTGTCCCTCTTAAGGGTTCAAACCATCCTTGAGTAGCTTCGCAACAACGCCCTGCCAGACAATCCCCCGAGATGGGTTTTTGTTGTCCAAGGCCTTCGCAACAACGCCTGAATCTTTGTCTTTTGAGAACATCCTTGGAGCACATCCAAGTCTTGTCTGCCAGACAGTCCTTTGAGATCCCCACCGAGTCTTTTTGTCCACCTAGACATGTGAGACGATGACCCGAGACATGTCGTTTTCCATGCGATGCCGACATGCGTGTGTTTATCCACGAAAACGGAGATTGGCTCGGGATGTGACACATGGCTCGGGATGTGACACATGGTGAAACAGCAGGTGGATAGCAAGAGATCAACAACTTTTGCAGTGTTTTTTTCTCTTGGGTGAACTGTTCGCGAATTTTTGAACCATCATGCAAGGTACTTCTCACTTAATCAGGCTGTTGACCTTGGCTTTGTGCGGCGAAGACGACGGACTTCCCTCCCTTGGCCCTTTGCGAAAGGCGAGGCTTCGCCGCTGTTCGGCACCTCCCCAATCCGAACCCGCACGCTGTTCGTGGACTCGGTTCGCTCCAAGGTTTCAGGTGAAAGTCGAAGCCTTGGAGGAGACCTTGGACCGCTTCGCTCGCTTCTTCTCGGAGCCGCTGCTCACCAAGGCCGGAGTGGGTCGTGGGTGTGAGAGTGGAGGAGTGGAGCGAACGTGGGAAGAAGGAGTGTTTTTGGTTGTCAGGGCTGGGGTGATATATGGTGATATACTATAGGCATGGCACTAATGTAGACTAATGATCAGTAAAGGCCCCTAGATGAAGTGGAGCACTGCTGTGGAGCGGGCAAGATGAAGTTCTTGTGCAGGATTTTCCAAAAGGATCGTTCCATATGCAACAAATGTGGCCTACATGTCTCTGTAAAAAAGACGTGTCCGTTGACGAACGTTTCTTTGTTTGCGCTTGAACGTCGTGAAGACGGGTCTGTTGCCGGAAAAATGGTCTTGGGGTTGAAAGAATTCATCCGTCACTGCTGGATGCGATGTTAAACAAACGAACGGTAAGAGCACCGTGCCACTGGGAGTCTTTCTTTTGCTGGAACGACCATATCGACATTGGGGCCGTCTTTCTTTGGTGGCTTTTCTTAGAGACGAGAGCCCTTTTGTTCCTGTTTTTGGAAATGCGTGGATGTCTGAATCTTCCATGTACTGGTTCTCGTCGCATCCAGACGGGATTCCCCTCTGGCCAGGACTGCACAGACAGGGAAATCAACGCAGTGGACTCCGAGTTTCAAGCAGGTGCGGTAGATGAACGGCACGGCTTGAGCTGGATTGGGGCATTGGCCTTCTTCTGGAATGTTTTCTTTTTGATCCACTCCCATCAACATTTGGTGATCTTGGGGGAGCAGCGGTGGTCGATCGTTTCTGCCTCATGTGTGGGGCGTGAAACTTCCGATCTTTCAACATCTGGGTGCTGTTCCTGATGATTTTCCAAGATCATTTGGTTCTTTAAAACTTATCGTTTGTGATAAGACTTATCGTTCCGCTTGGTTATTCCTGATAGTTCTTCAGATCCTGGGACGGTCCCAAATCCCGCTTGAAGCTGGGACATCTGACTCGGGTTGGGTGTTTTCAGTTCCCAGATTGGTGTTTTCCCTTCCCGTGGTGTTTCCTTTTCCCAGATTGGTGTTTTCGGTTCCCGTGGTGTTTCTGGTTCCCAGGTCTTGGTGTTTCCAGTTCCTGGATTGGTGTTTTCCTTGCCCAGCTCCTGTGTTGGTGTTTTTGGTTCCCAGGTTTGGGTGTTTTCAGTCCTGGACAATGTGTTCCCTGCCCGGCTCCTGTGTTGGTGTGCCCTTTCACGTGTTTGTTTGTCAGCTTTCGTTTGAATTTCTGGCTACCATTGCCCACCGCTGGATTTGAAAGCACGTACTCGTGTCACACAATTAAACAGACAAAGAACACCGCAAAACCATCAAAGCCATTCGCTGGAAAACATGTCAGTTTGCGTAAACCCACTGCCGCAAAAACACAAGGTACCCGGTGACACCATCATAACCGCGCACTGTACGAACACATAGACGAAAGCATACCGAAGAAGACGAGGCAGGTGGTACAAAGTTATCTATCATGTAGTGTATCGCTCCTACCATGCCATTACACCGCTGGTTTTGAAAGCACGTACTCGTGTCACACAATTAAACAGACAAAGAACACCGCACTGTACAAACACATAGACGCAAGCACACAGAGCTTCAGTTTTGGCCATGACGCGCTGGGAGAACCTCAGCGAAGAAGACGAGGCAGGTGGTACAAACTTATCTATCATGTAGTGTATCGCTCCTACCATGCCGTTACAATTTGGCATGTAACCTTGTACCAGGCCAACTGGTGCTGGACCGCCAAAGAATATTTGCGCCAGCACTGTGCCCTTACAGTGAAAACACCAGCCTGTAGCTTAATTGCAGCTGCTTCTGCTTACTTAGCTTTGCGCGGCTAAGTCTGAGCCGACCAGGTTGGATTCCTCCGCTTCGCTGTCGTTTGGCCCCCAGCTGCAGCAGTACTGTTTGGTTCTGCAGCACGTAGTTCGCTCTTGTCCGTGCTTACTGCTGTGCTGGCTGTTGCTGTTCCCGCTGTTCTTGCGGCCGCTGTTCCTGTCGCTGTCGCGGTTGTTTCTGTTGTTGTTGTTGTTGTTGTTGCTGTTGCTTCTGTTGCTGTTGCTGTTGCTGGATGCGGCTGCTGCTGTTGCTGCTGCTGGTGGTGGTGCTGCTGCTGCTGCTGCGGCGGTTCTTCTTTGCCGCCTGTCGTTGCTCATTCTGCCTTGTCAGGATGAGCCGGTGCGCGAAGAGGCTCGTGCGCCAAAAGCTTGCTCTAGACTCCTCTACTCCATTCAATGGCATGTTTGTCTGCAGAGTCTGCAATCGATGTTTTGCTACTCACACTGGCAGGAGAGGCGTCTGGAAGTGGCCTGGCCGTCTTCCAAGGTACCCGCGCAACAGCCCCTTCATGACCGTGTGGCGAATGTATCAAATGATCGCATGCCATGCAGCCAGTCCTTTGAAGAACCAGTCCTGTGTTGCTTTGAATCTTGTTCATCGCCAAATGTGACGAATTCTTTGCAGCGGTGTTGTGACTCGGTGTTTGTTTCTAGTTTGTGCGGAGGCCCCTGCGGTGCGTGCACCACGACGTCGCCCATGGAGGCCAAACTACCCAGAGAAAACTCAGTGCTCGACAGATGAGGCCGGTGCCCTGTTCCAGCTGTGCGGCCCTGTGCCTTTTTTCTTGGATCTGTGCAGGCTTTCGACTTTGACTTTGCGGATGCTGCAGAAGCTTGTACCTAAGGATTCACCGTTGACAGCCTTCAGTGGCCCATCCTTCCGCTATCCCAGGCCGTGTCTGGCCTGCACATCGAGCATTCCTGGTGCTGCGAGCTCGGTCTTTGTCTGTCTGACTGTCCTGGGCTGGGCTTCAGGACCATACGCGTGAAAGCATCAACTAAGATAACCGTAGGCCGCAGCCTCACGAGTTCAAGGTTGACACCTTGCTGCTGTTTCCAAGGTGACAGCTTCGCTGTATCCTTGGCGCGTCGGGTTCGCACACAGTACCGGCCGTGCGGAGGACCTCCTTTTGCAACTTTTCCTTTCACAGCTTGACAGCCAATGCTCTTTGTTCAACAGGCAATCAGACTGCTCCTGGACAAGGTCGAGCAGGTGCAGTGCTCCGTCACAGTCGCGTTCCAAGGTTAGTCTTTTTGCAGCTGTCCGTCTAAGGCGCGTTCTCCTTTGCCGGTCTTTTGCTCAGACATGACACTCGTATCTGCACAGGTGCCTGAATCCGTCCTGTTTGTTGTTCAGGTCCTGAATGTGTGCATCATGACTTGGTTGGAGGCGCTGGGGTCCATGCTCTGCTTCCATTTCGGTTTGGTTGCTTTTGTTGCAAGGCTGCACGCATCATGTCGGTGCGGATGCTGCCATGTCCCGGCCTCAGACCCGCGCACCACGTGCAGTTGGTGCTTCCTTTTTCAAAATTTCCCGAGGTTCCCCGACAATTGCTGTTTGGTTTGTCGGGCGGAAGGCAAGGCAGAGGGCGTCCAACGCGCTACCTTCCTTGTGCTTTCATGTCGTGTGGCCAGGATCGAAACAGGCGGGTCCATGCGCTCATGGGCAACACCACAGGTGGGGAGGGAGCCGGTAGTGCCAGCAGCCTCTTCTGTTTCCCTTGCTGTGAGGCCCATCCTACATGGACCTCTACGAACGACGCGTTGAGGTTCCTTTGCCAACAGTCCTGCGGCGCAGCAGCGCGTTTGGTATCCGTGGCCGGTTCCTGAACAAAGGCACAAGCTGTTGGCTTGGGAGCCTCTTGCAGGCTCTTTTTTCCAGCGCTGCTATGCAGTGTGCTCTGTTGCTACACCGTTGCCGGGCGGGGCTTCCCTGCGCTTTGTGTGCTTTGACCACCACAGAAGAAAACAGCCGCCGCATTGAACAGGTCTATTGCATTCAGTCTCTGTGGAAACCTTTGGTTGAAGATGCACAACTGTCATGGCGGGAGCAGCAGGATCCCTTGCAGTTCTTTCTGAAGCTGTGCGCATTGGCGCACACATTCTTTGCGCCCATGTTTGGAGCTTCTTTGGACACCACTGTTACACAAACCTTGCCGTGTCAGTGTGGCGTTGAGCTGCCGGAGCCCCACGTCTTCCCCCGTCAGCTGGAGTACATTGTGCCTTTGAAAGTGCCATGCAGTGCAGATGGGCCATTGAACATGGAAGCGCTCATGGGTATGATGCAAGAAGAAAGACCTGAGAATGCGATGAAATGTCCTATCTGCGACGCCCAAGCAGGCTTTCTTGCCAAGCACGCTTGGAGTTTTGGCCCCCTGGTGTTATTTCAACTGACTCGAAGCATCGGCAGCAAGACAGCAGTGGATTTGGAAGCAGAGCTCGACGTGCTTGGCCGTTGTTATGCTCTTCGAGCGTGTGTGTGTCACAGAGGCGAAACCAATTCTGGCCACTACCTTTGCTTCGTTCGGGAACCGTCCACGGGGCTTTGGATACGCTACAATGATGCTGAGGTGCCAGTTCGGTTGCCGCAACTTCCTGGATGCTTGCAGACCCATTGTGCGTTTGCCTTGTACGAAGAGAAGCTTAGTGACGAGCAGGTGGCAGCGTTCTGCATGTCCACTTTTCCAGTTCCAGATGATGTTGCTGAGGCGGGTCCCTGATTAACATGCTTTCCTACATTCAAGATGTCCAGTTGATGCTGCCCCCCAGGTCAGACTAGAACCCGATGCGGATGTTGCTGCAGCTTGGGAGGACATTTTGCTTTTGCTTTTTTTGTTTCCAGCTGCCATAGTTTTGTTGCTTGCGCCATGCTTCCATCTTGGTTCTCCACACAGGACATACGTTGCAAGCTTGGGCGTGGCGCCAGTGCCACACCTGTCACAGAGATTCTAGCCACGCAGCCGCTTGCTCAGCAGCCTCGCCTATGCACGGAAGAACAACTTAGAGCTGATGCGCACCTCCTTCTTGACGTTTGGCTTCAAGGAAATTCTGTCCAAGAGTTCTTGCAAAAACTGCCGCAGTATGTTCCAAGCGTTGCAATGGATACTTGCATAGCGAAATTTCGAAGCTCCGTGCAGACGCTCTTGCAGGAAAGAATCAGCAGCTCGGCAGCAATGCAAACTACTCCTTTGATTGCAGAGACAATTTGCTACCCTTTTGCAGTCATGCTTATGGCTGCCAGTATTGCTTCGGCCACGCCTATTGCTTTGCTCCTCGACACTGTTCTTGCAGTCGTGCACAGCCTGGTCAACAAGAACTTCCATTTGAATATGGGCCGGTGGGAGAACAAAAGCCGGTTCTGGTTCGTGGGCACTGCAGAAACTGGAGAAGGAAAGCGAGGCGCCATGAAGCCAGTCATACAGTGTGCGCACAACGTGCTTCGCAGCAATTCTGGATTGATGCATGGCACATCAGCTGATGACTTTCACATGCAGCAGTCCTGCACCACCGCTGCAGCCATTGACAAGCTACGTCACACCGATGGCTATCTGTTGCTGCACAGTGACGAAGCTGGTCAGTGCTTGGATTTAAGTTTCAGTGGCACGTCAGCTGGTGGCACAAAGAAAGGGGAGCACGTGGATCTCACAATGTTCCTGGACGCAGCGCGTGGAGATGAGTTCAGCCACACCACCATGCTTGACCGCAAGCGTGCCGCACGGCGTGAGCCCACCCACCGTTTGGATCCGGTGCAGGAGCCACCTCCGATGACGGTGTCCACAAACATGGAGGTGTCCTGGTTGCAGCAGGAGCTCTATTTCTTACAGTACTGGTGTTTGGCAGCTTTCACCAAACCCATTGGTTTGGTTCAGCGATGCTTGTTCAGTTTCGGCCGTGCCTTGCCAGCGCCCGAACCATCTTGGAACGCCTTCTGGCGGCAAGTTTTTTTGCCCTTTCTGGAGAGCATCTTTCAGTTCACACTAACGACATATGGTCCGAAAGCGCCAGAAGCTACGACCCAGCCCCTGTGCATCACGCCTGAGCAGGAACAACTCCTTTTTCAGATGGAAGAGCTCTTGAAAGTGCTTGGGTCAAGCCGCAAAATCCACCCCGTTGCCAAAGGCGCAATGCCGAAATGCTTGTATTGGCTGGGCACCATGATTAGAACCAATTTTCTTTTGGAACACAGCATGGATGCTTACCTCTCAAGCTCCATGCCTAACGCTCCTCGCCTTTTCACGGTCCAGAACAACAACTTCTTGACTGCGATCAACTTCCTCTCGCAGCGGTACCTCTTTGGCATGATGGTTGTTGCCACTTCTGTGGCCGAACGATCTTGGAGCACCATAGCAGAGGACCCTAAACATTCGCTGGACAAAACCACAGAGTACATATTGCAAGTGCTACGCACCATCCCTTTCCGTCACATTTCTCAGAAGGATGTCTTCCACGCGTGCCTTGATTTGGCCTGGCAGTGGCGACGCGGTCGCTCTGAAGAACATGCTGACGCTGAGTGCATGCTGGACAAGATTTTCTACACACTGCAGGCCACACGGTTGCAATCTGCTTTTTTCCTTCGGTTTCAACTGTCAGGTTTTGAAGTTCCAGTGCACTTGTTCATGTTGTTTTCTCGCCTTTGTCCCTGCTCCTGAGGACCGCAAGATAGGCAAGGTGAACGTCAACGATGGGTGCTCTACAAGCTTCACCAAAGAGGCGCTGAACGACATCCCGGCTGGGGCAATTGACTGGCTTCGAGAACATCGTGTGTCTTTGCTGATGTTCAGCACATGGGGTCTTGTGCCGTCCATCCCCGTGTCCACTGACTCTGTCTCCCAAGCCACAGTACCTCCGGACGATATGCCGTTGGCTCCTGCAGAAATTACTCCAGCTAGTGCTGGTGGTGCTTCGTCGGAAACCACGCCTCGTGCTGCCGGGAATGCGTTTGTTGAGCGCAGCGATTGGCGTCCTCTGAGCGTCGAACAACTTCCGTTGCCTTTGCTGCAGCACAAAGCTTTGCTGCAATGCCTGCGGGCTCGCCCTGAATGGGCGCAGCACCGTGTGGAGATCAAGTATCGCAAGCGGTCCCGTGGGCAAGACTTCTACGAAGTCGAATGCTTGGATGGGCTTGACTGCTGCAAGCGTTGGCGTGCATTTTACATTTTCAGTGCCCATGACATGCATCCACCAGGCACTTTGATTTTGCAGACGTGTGGTGAGCATTCCCATGAAACACGTCGAGCCACCAGCAAGCTATTCACATCGCAGCAGCTTTCCATTGCAGAAGGCTTTCTTGCAAGCGGTGGCCGGGACCTTCGAGGTTTACAACTTGCTTTCTCTACGGCGAACATTGCTTCAAACACTTTGCCCAACTCCACGCAACTTTCCAACTGGCTGAAGCGACAGAAGAAAAGCCAGAAGAATACTCTGTCAAGACATGCGACCCTGGTGGAAGTCACGCGCCTGGAGCTCACGGCTTTGCCGCGGTCCATGCCGGACACACTGTCGGCTTTGTTTTTACTTGATGAGCCGGTCCTGACCCAGGACGAAGTTTGCATCATTTTTTCTTGCCCGGGCATGGTTCGCCATTTTGAACGTTACCAAGATACTACATTGTGCTGCACTGTTGATGCGAAAATGAAAGTTGCCGAGCATGGGTATGGCGTTGCGACTTTCGGTCTCCTCACTCGCGACAAACTACGAAAAACCACTTTGTCGCGTGCTGCCCGCACGGACTCCACACCTGCTCGAACTCAAGGGTTCGCCTTTACAAGTCACACCGTGCCCGTCGTGCAAGCGATTTTCCATCAAGAAACGCACGGCAATTTCCAACGCTTATTCCGGGCCGTGGACAAGCTCTGGCAAAACAGTGCATCTCCACCCCGTCCATCGCTTGCAACTTTGCCATTCCAATTGCACAAAGATTTCAAAAAAGAGATTGAAACTGCCCGCGTCGATTGCTTCCCACACTCCCGTGCATGTGATGATTTCTTCCATTGGAGCCAAAAGCAGCATACGACTATGGCTGCAAAGTGCTGCAAACGGTCTTACGAAAGGGGAAATGGGTCAAGGAACATTTGGATTGGGCAGTTGCTGCGGTGCGACTTCTGCGCTTGCTTCCCACGTTGCGCTTGTTTTCCCCTTTGTGGGCTGCGTATCTTCGTCGACTTACCGAACATGGAGAGCATGACTTGGTCGCTTGGTTACGAACCTATGAAAGGCCGCTGCCTTTCGCTTTGGCGCAGCAGTACGCAAGTTCTTCGCCACCCCCAACTTATGTCAGCTTTTGGACTGGCTTCGAAGGCACTGTGGCTGGCAGTGTTGCAGGCAACCAACCTGCGGAGGCCTTGCACGCACCATGGCAGCGTGAACTTCAAGCTTTGGGAGGTAAGGGCAACATCAGCCACGTGCTAGGCGTGCCCGGCAAAAGGGTCGGAAGCGGAAAGCTGAACCGTGCCCCCGCCAACAACGGCGCCAGCACAAACGCGCCAAGCAGTAAGTGGAAGCTTGGTCTGCAGGGCTCCAACTTTTTTTTGCATGCTTTGCTGCACATGTTTACGTTCATTTCCCAAAGCCACTTGCCGTCACGCGTCACTTGCACATCACTGTGGTTAACAAGTTGCATTGTCGCCTTCTGCAGTCTCTCTCTACGGCTTGTCGGTTTCATGTGGTGAGCTTGCGCGCATCTGAGGCCAACGTCGACGCAGGTCGTGTGAGTGCTAGTTTCATGTCCGTGTGCGGCAGGACTTAGCTGTTGTGACGCTGGGGTTCAAAAAGATTTGCCCACTTCCTGCTTGGGCAACCATGCTGAAGCGTTGCTTCTTTTCCATTTGCTTGGACACCAATTTCATTCAGCCACACTGGCGCAACCTTGCCGCCAAGTTCCTATCGCTGTGGCGGTTGTTTCTGTTGTTGTTGTTGTCGTTGTTGTTGTTGTTGTTGGTGGTGGTGGTGGTGTTCTTGATGGTGTTGTTGTTGTTGTCGTCGATTTTCGCATGTTGTTTGTTGATCGTTGTTGGTCGTCGTTGTTGGTCCTCGTCGTCGGTGTTGTGGTTGTTGTTGTTGTGGTGGTCTTTGTTGCTGTTGTTGGTGGTGGTCGTGGTGGTGGTGGTGGTGGTCGTGGTGGTGGTGGTG